ACTACTGCATACCCCAAAACTACTCCAGGGAAACCCATAATCTCTGCAATCCCGATAATCCCCACAATCCCCTCAATTCCCTCAATCCCCATAATCCCCCCAAACCCAAAAATCCCCCAAATACCCACAACTATTCCAAGAAGACCACCAACAACCATAAAATCCAGAATTACTACAAGGAGATCCTCAACTACCATAAACCCCACAACTACTACAAGGAGACCATCAACTACTACAAAACCAACAACTACTACAAGGAGACCCTCTACCACAACAAACCCCATAACTACTACAAGGAGACCCTCTACTGTGACAAATTCCAAAACTACTACATGGAGATCCTCAGCTACCACAAAACCTACAACTACTACAAAGAGACTATCAACTACTACAAACCCAACAACTACTACAGGGAGACCCTCTACTATGACAAACCCCACAAGTACTACAAGGAAATCCTCAGCTAGCAGAAAACCCACAACTACTACAACGAGACCATCAACTACTACAAATGCAACAACTGCGACAAGGAGACCCTCAACTACGACAAACCCAACAACTACTACAAGAAGACCCTCTACTACGGCAAACCCCATAACTACTACAAGGAGACCCTCTACTATGACAAACCCCACAACTACTACATGGGGATCCTCTGCTACCACAAAATCCACAACTACTACAAAAAGACCATCAACTACTACAAACACAACAACTACTACTAGAAGACCCTCTACTACGACAAACCCCATAACTACTACAAGGAGACCCTCTACTATGACAAACCTCATAACTACTACAAGGAGACCCTCTACTATGACAAACCCTGCTACACGGAAATCCTCAGCTACCACAAAACCCACAACTACTACAAGGAGACCATCAACTACTACAAATGCAACAACTACAATAAGGAGACCCTCAACTACGACAAACCCCATAACTACCACAAGGAGACCCCCTACTATGACAAACCCTACAACTACTACATGGAGATCCTCAGCTACCACAAAACCCACAACTACTACAATGAGACCATCAACTACTACAAACACAACAACTACTACAAGGAGACCCTCTACCACAACAAACCCCATAACTACTACAAGGAGACCCTCTACTATGACAAACCCCACAACTACTACATGGAGACCATCAACAACTATAAATGCAACAACTACTACAAGGAGACCCTCTACCACAACAAACCCCATAACTACTACAAGGAGACCCTCTACTATGACAAACCCCAAAACTACCTCATGGAGACCCTCAGCTATCACAAAACCCACAACTACTACAAAGAGGCCATCATCTACCACAAACCCAACAACTACTACAAGAAGACCCTCAATGACCACAAGCCCCACAAGTACTATAGAACCCACAATTACTACAATCCCCACAACTATTCCATGTAGATCCCGAACAACTGCAAAGCCTACAATTACTACAAAGAGACCCTCAACTACCAGAGAACTCACAATTACTACAAGGGAACCCTCAGCTACCACAATACCCACAACTACTACAAGAAGACCATCATCTACCACAAACCCAACAACTTCTACAAGGAAACCCTCAACTAACACAAGCCCCACCACTACTGCAGAACCCACAATTACCAAAATCCCCACAACTATTCCAAGTAGACCACTGACAACTGTAAATCCCACAATTACTACAAGGAAACCCTCAACTACCACAAAACCCACAACTACTACAAGGAGATCATCAACTACCACAGAACCCACAATTGCTACAAGGAGACCCTCAGCTACCACAAAACCCACAATTACTACAAAAAGACTGCCAACTACTACAAACCCCACAACTACTCCAAGGAGACCCACAATTACCATAATCCCCACAACTATTCCAAGTAGACCCCCAACAACCGTAAAACCCATAATTACTACAAGGAGTCCCTTAGTTCCCACAGTTCCCACAGCTACTACAAGGAGACCATCAACTACTAAAAACCCAGCAACTACTACAAGGAGACCCTCTACTATGACAAACCCCACAACTACTACAGAACCCACAATTACTACAAGTATACTCTCAGCTACTCCAAAATCTACAACTACTACAGGGAGACCCTCAATTACCAGAAAACCGACAACTATTACACGGAGACCCTCGTCTACCCCAAAACCCGCAACTACTACAAAGAGACCCTCAACTACCACAATAGTCACAACTACTCCGAGGAGATCATCAACAACCATAAAACCCATGACTACTCCACAAAGACCCACACCTTCTATAAAACCTACATCTATTCCAAGTAGACCCCTAACAACCATAAAACCCAAACCCACTTCAAGAAGACCCACCCCTTCTATAAAATCTACAACTACTCCACAAAGAACAGCAACTATGACAAAACACACAACTATTCCACAGAGAACCTTGACTATGATCAACCCCACAACTACTACAAGGAGACCCTCAACTACCAAAAAATGCACAATTACTACAAGGATACCCACAAATACTCCAAAATCAACCACAATCTCTACCTCTACTTCTCTACTACCAGTAGACAGGCAGACTTCCGAATCAGGTAAATTTTGTGTGTTTTATCAATCAGAGGCCTTCTCATAGAGTTCTGTAGGACACAGACAACAAGGCAGTCATAAGTATGATCTAGGTGAAGGAGTCTTAATTGGGTTCTAAACATTGACTTCACTTTGTCCATGGTTCTCTAGTCTTTGTATGTGCACCACCTGTTCTGTAACAATTTGAACCTGGAGGACACCCATCTCTCTATATGAGATTTTCCAGGGATTCAGTACTAGCCAGATTTAGGTTGATCATTGATCTAGGATAGCTGATGAGGATGTTAGGAATCTAGGATAGTAGGGCCTGACTTTCTGATGAAAAAGTAAAGAAAGAATGACTGAGAACTAGTGTCTGGGTAGGCACAATCGAACCCTTTTCAGATATTCTGAAATTGGGCCATCCAGCCAAGGCCATAGTGTAGTAAAATTGACATTCAATGTTTCCTGAGCACCAGGCAGCATGCTACATGCTTCATGATGCAGTGTTTAATTCTCAGACACTTGTGTCCTATATAGCTGTGATATGTCCCTCTTTCATGGTGACAGGGACAGACAGTTCATGGTGGAAGTTATGGAAGACAGAAAGTGGCTCAGACTCTGTCCCTGTTCACTTGAGTTGGAAGCTGGTTCTTCTGACTCTGGGGTCATAACTCCAGCCATAGGCTCTGAGATTTATGTTTAGATAGTTTGTCCTGTATTCACTTAAATAAGAGGACTCTGTAGTACTGGGCTACAAGCCAAATTTGCAGAGGGCCCTAGATTTTAGATTGGGATTTTAGAACATAAGGATTTGTGAGAGAACCCATTTTGCTCCAGGCCGCTGTAAACATTGGAGAACTGTGAGGATCTCTCGAGACTGGCAAACTTTTCAAGACTTAGCTTTTGCTTGCATCAGGGGATTGGCTCATTGGCTGAGTTTGGAGAACAAGTTCCTGACTCTATGGAAAACAGAGATTTAGAAAAGCAGTAACAGCTGACATGATAATGTGACCAGCTAGAGTGATATTATTTGAATTCTATTTTGTTGAGCTAGGATCTCAACTTGGCTGTCATGGATCTCGTGATGTCCACTGAAGTCACAAAGGTCTTCCTGCCTCTTCAAGTAATGGAAGGTGTTTGCCACCATGCCTGTCAGTGTTGAAATTAATATTTATTTAATTTATTCATTTTAATATTTATTTAATATTTGAGTCACTTTTTCTTATACCTGGAAGGTTGTGCTTAAGATACAAAAAGACTCTAGACTGTAGATGTTTCCTAAACCTAGTCATTGCCTTTGGCTCCTTGGAAGTGCGCCCCAATGAGTAAAAATGGAAGGTGAGAATCAGGAGGCCAAGGCCAGCCACATGTACTCATGCTTGGCAGTGCCAGCTTTGGCAGGAACTGGGAGTCCCATAGACCTGAAGCTGTACCACTCATTGTTTGGGCATTGTGTGTGTGTGTGTGTGTTTGTATGCATGTATGTGTACGCACACACTTTCAGCAGATATTTCTGACATTTGCTTTTTCAAGAATAAAATGAAACTGGGCACCCACTGTTAGGATGTAAACCATTTGTTTATCACTGTGACTCAGCAGGATGAGAATTCTTTACATACAGAATTCCAAAAAAGGTATCTCAGAAACACCCCAAAATCAGATTGAAGTTCAGTGTCTCTCCTGCCACACGAAATCCCAACCCTCACATCATGTGTGGCACGTCCACTTGTGAGTGATAGTACAGGTGATTTCTGAAGCAATTCTGATCAGGCCAAGGCAAACTGACACATTAGATAAGAACGCACAAGCTGTTCGGATGTCATGGTAGTTCCTCTCATTCTGAGTAGAGATCATCCTGATGTTTCAGTGTGTGTACGGCCTTTGTGCACTTAGAATCCTCAGCTAATATGGAAGTAGAGAGAAGGTGGGACCTTAGGCTGTTCCAATTCTAAGTGCTCTGCTTCACCTAATTTTTTTTTCTTTTTATAAGTGTTTTATTTAAAAAGTTACTATTCAGAAGTTACTCTCTTCAACAACCCATTCAAAAGTGATTTGATGTTAAAAATATGAGCCCAAACGCTTTTCATGAGATATTGAATAATCGATGCAAAACTTGCTCCTTCATTTGCATATGCAGCTATATGCCATGCAAACTGGACAGCCATACTCAGTCTTATAGACTACCTGGGCATGTATATGTATGAGAGAGAGAGAGAGAGAAAAAGAGAGAGAGAGAGAGAGAGAGAGAGAGAGAGAGGGAGAGAGGAACAGAAACATTAAGATATATAACTTTCTAGATAAATTTAACAAAATACTGCTATTTAGTCTGATGCTATAGTTTTTGATCATGTTATTTAACATTTAATCTTCCATAGAAGTTGGTATGAATATGTGTAGTGTCTATAATGAACGTATAACATTATTCTAATGACAATTTTCATTCTTTTTGAACAGTTTACACTGAAACTGTGACATCTTCACATCACCCTTGGAATAATCACACTGTAAGCAAATCCCTCTCTGTGTTAATAACAAGATTCTCTTCTATCTTCCTGGAATCGTGTTGCCCTTAGGGACTCTGTAAATCAATTTACAGACTTTTGTCTCAAAAGAAGAAGAAGAAATAGAAGAGAAAAAGAGGCGAGCATAGTTGTTTCTTCCTTTATCATAGGATCCAGGAAGCTGACACAGGAGATACTAAATTTGAGGATAGCCTGGACTACAAGGTCAGCTTGAGTCCACCATGAGAACTTGTCTCAACAATCCAAGAGAGATCAAGACAATATTTTATATATATGATAAATCGCATGAAAATAAGAGAAGAATTTGACTCTAAAAAGAGTGTCAAGTTTACTTTGATGGGCAAGTTTGTCAGCGGTGCCTAATAAGTGATATTTTACAAGCAATGGAGGGAGGCAAGGACACACAGAGAGACTGATTCATTTTCTATGTTTAAAAGTTACATTAAAATAAAAAGAACGAATTAGCTAGAGGAGACTAAATTAGCATACCGTATTTGCATATACTAGTACAATATCAGAAGCCATCACACCATGTCAAAGGATTGCTAGTTGAACAGACTTGTGCTGTGTTTAGCACAACCTTGCATGGTGTAGTCGTAGCTGAGCTAGCTTAACTGCAGAACAGTCAGCTTTACCAGCATGAAGAAAGAGAATTAAACTCAAAACAAGAACAAACAGATCTGGACTCTGAAGCTGTCAGTCTGACTCTAGGTGTATCGAGAACAGTGCACAGAGACACACCTTGTGTGCTTGTGTGCTGTGTCTAGGTTTTTGATTTGCTTGTTTTGGGGACAGGGTCTCCTGGAGACCAGGTTGGCCTTGAATTCTCCATGGAGTTGAGAATGATCAAGAACTCCTGACCCTCTTGTCTCAACTTCTCAAGTTCTGGGATTACAGGTGTGCCTAGCAATAGCAGCACACATCCGGAACCTGTAGATCAACTTTCTAGACTTTAGCTCATGAAAAAGTTGAAAAAAAATATTTGAAGATGTATGAGAAAGAATAGCCATTGCTGCCATTCGTAGTCAGGAAAATGTTATGAAGTAAATGTTTGTGAAGACATGATGAACTCACCTGTGATCCAGGTACTCAGGAGGTGTATGCGGGGGGACGAAATTCATTGTATTGGCTACATAGTGAGTACCAGGTCAGTTAGAATACACATGATACTGTCTCAAAACCAACACATATTACTTTATATACCTACAGTGTTTGTCAAGAAGGACCTGAGAATCCCTTTCCCAGGAATCCACTGAACATGTTTGAGGACGTAGAGACGGCACTCACAGAACTTAGCTAACACTTCTATGGTCTCCCTGACTAAACAGAGGAGCCTGGATTGTGACTCCAGAGACGAGGCTCATAAATGGAAAAAGACCTGGTCTCATCCATGGGCTCTGTTTACAGTTAGTAGATTAGTGTCAAGCTATTAGAGAGGTCTCACCTGCTGCCCACCTGCCTCCTGCTTATTCCAGTGTGTGCTGATCCCTGATCCCCTGCACCAGGGCACTAGGGAGATTCTGCATTTCTGTCTGATCACACGGTGGTAATCAGGCTGCGTTGGAGCAGTTTCTTCTGAGTATTTTTTTTTTAAAGCTGTAGATCTTGCTGGGCATGGTGGACCATGGCTTTACTCCCAGCCATAAATAAAGTCTGGCCCATCTTTGTGAGTTCGGGGGCAGCCTGGTCTATACAGAGTTTAGCAGAGCTGTGACTAGGTAGTGAGAAGTAAGACCCTGTCTCAAAAACCAAAACCAAAAACAAAGAAAAAAAGAAAGAAGAAGAAAAACATCGAGTCCAGAATTTTACAAGACAATTACGATTTTTGAGGAAAGACCAGGCTCAGTAGCTGAGCACAGGCTGGGAACATCAGAACATTGACTGAGAAAGGAGCCACTGTTTTTCTCAATAGAGGAATAACCTACTGATATATAATATAATATTAATGCAGATATAATATAATATAATATTAATGCAGATATAATCACTCACAAGATATGCAACCATGTTGTCACCTCAAACCACAGAGAAAACATTTTCATCTTTCTCCTAGACACTGAAGTTTGTGTTTTCTAGAGTCGAACAACTTAGTACCAGCTCAGGTTGTTTGGTTTACTTGCGTGTTCTATTCTATTTCATTTAAATGTGTGATCTCTCTATGTGGCCCTGGCTGTCCCAGAACTGCTATGTAGACCAGGCTGTCTTGGAACGCTCAGATAATCTTCTGCCTCTGCCTCTCAAGTGCTGGGAATCAAGGTGCACACTCCCACATACTTGCATATTCTAGATTAGCCACAGAAAATGGAGGAAAAGAATCTAGGTTGAGGTCTGGGGTGTATTTTCTGCTCATCTCATTTGGCATCTCTTCAATGATTGATGTTTCCTTAGGAAGAGATCCCAACACCCCGCCCCCTGGTGATCCCCACTAAGGGCCTCTACATCGGAATCTCCATGTCTGTTGGGCTGTTGCTTCTCACAGGCATCCTGATGATCTTAAGTGAGTAGCTTTATCAAGGTCTCATTGTTAGGGATGGGAATGGGTCTCCCTGGGAAATGGTCACACAATCCAAGGAATTTTGGCAGAGCAAAATCTTTTATACCTGTGGCATAGTGAAAAACCACTTTAAATCCACTGAGGAAAGTGGGGTCCTGCTGGGCCTTAAACTCTAAAACAAAGAGGTCCTGTACCTGATTCTGAGTATCCAGAGCTCGGCCTCACAGTCTAGGAGGTTTGTCTTATAAAGCAGAGCAGTGACTAGGGAGAGCGGTTCCGAGCACAGAATTTGACGGTAGGAAAATGCTTACTCCACAGTTCCTCTTGCCTAATGGTGTCTTCCCACATTTCTTTCAAGATGGTACTTCCTCTGTCTTCATTAGCCCTGTGGTAGAAGACAGTGCATTTTATGTCTACTTCCCAGACCAAGGAGCTAGAGCAAGGCTTCTCAGCTGTTCTGACTGCCTGCAAGGAACTCCACATGCCATGAGGTTCTTTTCTGTGTTCCCCAATGCAGGATACATATTGCAGTCCCTTCTGGATATCAGGTCCTGGATATCAGGACCTACTGTGCACTGAGATTCTAACACTTGGGACATGCTCAGTGAACACTGTTACTGTACGTCATTAGGATTCCTGTTTCATGTAACTTGTAAAGCTAAATATTGGTGGCTCATTTCCTAAGTATGATTGTTTGTTTGGTTTATTTCTTTTGTAATTTTTGAAACCTTCTGTCTTATATATCCCAGGCTGGCTTTGAACTTACAGTGTTGCTGAGGCCAGTTTTGAAGTTCTTAGTCTTCTGTCTCTGTATTTGGGTTTACAGCATATGCTTTATATTTCAATTGTTGGCTACCTCAAGAGAAAAAATTACACTTACTATAAAGAAATTGAATTTGGGACTGAAGAGAGGGTTCAGCACTTAGGTGGTTGACTGCTCCTATAGAGGATGTGAGATCTATCCCAGAACCTGGGTGGGTGACTCGCAACTGCCTGTTATTACATCCACATGGGGATACCTCTAGATTTAGGCACTTTCTTTGTAGAGTACATATTCAGACACACACACACACGTGCATGCATATGCACATACACACAATAATACACACACAATCACACATACATACACACATATATGCATGCATAAGCACATACACACAATCATACACACACAATCACACATACATACATACACACATACACACAGAGAAAGAAAGAAAGAATAAGTTTTTAAAGAAACAGGCTTGAGATCTGGCAGGCAGGGGACCATCGTGAGACCTATAGTGTGTTCTTTTCTAGCCTGCAGATCTGTTTTTGTCCCTGTGATGATACTGTTGAATGTTCTGGAACATTTCTAATAGAAGAGGCAAATAGGACATTGGAGGGAAAACTGCATGACTAACCCCTGAACAGAATTCTTTGACAGTGGCACTTAGGTCTGCTTGACCCTTTCCTACAGGGTTTGTGGGAATGCACAGGCGTTTCTGTCTGTCTAGCCCATTCCCTGTATAAGAATGTCAGTCACTGTCATTTCAAGATACCACACATGAGCTCATTACTGACCTGTTTCACATGACTGTGTAGAAATTTGGGAATAAGAATACATGTGTCAAACATCAGGAAGTTTCTCTCTAATATTTAGAACTTGGTTATTCGTAATGATTATTTAAGCTGACTCTTAGGTGTACACCTATAATCTCAGGATGCAGACTACTGATATAGAAGAATCATAGGTTATGACTAGCTTAGAATAAAATAGCAAGATAATGTTTTAAAAGGGGGAGTATAAATTGTGTAAAATACTACAAATACGTTCACTTTCTTAGCCCAAAGTTGTTTATTCTCCCCCGAGGGTGGGTGGCTTCTGGGAATCAAAGGTCTTTAACAGCAAGTGGAGAGTAAGTAATATTTTAGTGGTACATACTTCTGAAGAACATTATGGAAGGAACCAAAGCCATTATAGTGACATTTTAAAAATGGTTCTTGATGGAAGAAACCATTAGCAGGACCTTGTGTCTCAGGTCACTCGGGGAGTCGATGTTTAAGCTTATCTCCAGCAGCCAGTTTCAAACCCCAGACTTCATTTCTTTCAGTGAAAGAATTTACCAATGCCATTCTAGCACATTAGGAATGGTATCTGGGTGAGTGCATCAAACCGAAAAGGCAGAGGAAAGACTTTCTGTATGGTAGAGGAACAGATGACCTTCCCACTTTACCAGGGAATGGTTCAATTATAAACAGAAACAATAGTCTTGCTTAGAATAAAAGATCATGAATGTGATTGATGACATGTTCAATTTAACTCCACCTAACTGCCCCCCTCTGTTTCAGAGTGCAGACACACGAGAAAGAAGAGGAAGCCAGAGGTGTAAGTTGTCACGCTGTGTCGATTGCTTCGAAGCTTGTCATCTTGTGGATTTCTCCTTGTTCCTTTCTTTCTTTTCTTTTCTCCTCCTCTTTCTCCCATTCTTTCCCCTCCTTTTTTATTTACTTATTTTAATTATTTTTTCATATATACTTTGCTCATGTTCCTTTGCCTCTACCAACTCATCTCAGGTCATGCCACTTCCCAACCCACCCAATGCTATGTTCTCCTTCTTTCAAAGAAAGAAAAAGAAGAAGGAAGGAAGGAAGGAAGGAAGGGCCAGATAAAATCTAAAACAATACAAAAATGAAGATCAAAACAAAAAAGTCCAAGACCATTTCCTGTCAGTTGTCACATTGGCTCATCTGAGCTTTCTGACCCTACGTTGTTTCCGTATTTGTACGTGTGAAACTGAACTACACAGAGAAAAACTTGGTCCCATCTTCTTTGTAAATGACAGCACATGTGCTCTTCATGTGCCTGACTACATTTCAACAGTAGAGATGGCCAGTGTTTAGACAACAAAACGCCACTCTGCCTAAACACTACCCATGAGTTAAAGTTAGCCTGTTTTCTTCTCTGATTTGCTGCTTTATGAGTTCTAGGAAGCTCACATAGCAGTCCACTTGACTATCAGGGTAACCCCCCCCCCATCTAGTGGGAAAGGCCAGCTTTCAAACACCAGTAACTCTGTCCCAACATTAGTTCCTCTCCCTACAGTGCCTGATGGTTTTGTGCATGTGGTGGATACGAGTGTGCCCCAGACTGTACACTTTGCAACTGTTTCCCAGACCACCAGCCCCTGTGGAAAAGCCCTGCTTCATTGCTTTACACATTTCTTGTCTATGTTAGCATTGGAGGGTGCAGATGCTATGTAGATTTTAAAAGCACTTTTAACAATAACTTACTTATCTTTTGTTGTGTTAGGAGGTGGTGGTGGTGGTGTGTTTATGTGCACACATGCAGGTTCCATGGCACCTGTGAAGGCCAGAGAGCAACTTTGTGAAGCTGGTTCACTCCTTCTGCCTTTCTGTGGGTCCAGGGATCCAGCATGGGTCACCAGGCCCTCCTAACCCTTTCTAAAGGGCCACAGTCCTAAGCTGTAAATACAGCAGTCATCCAACTCTTAGCCCAGTTCCCACGTGCACAGCCTGATTAGGTAACTCCCTATGATGTTAGGTATCTGTCTTTTTAGATATCTGACTTTTGTGTTCTATTTCATGAGTATCCCAATGGATGCCAATATCAACTTTCTTTGTTAAATGTTTCTTTCTGTGTCTGATGTTTATCAAGCAAATGTCTCTATGATTTTACTAACGGGTCCCTGTGTGGTGCTATTCACTTCCTGTTACAGTTTTTGTGGATGGGGCTTCTGCACTCATGAATACCCAGTCTTACTGAATCATAAGCGAAAACTCTGCTCCGACCTGAAAAGTGACCTTCCTAATCTTTTTCAGCGACTCTCTTTTCCGCTCGGTCGTCTTCCATGCTTATATGAATGAAGCTTTCGAGAGTACACTGCAACTCCCCACCGAAGATATAGTCTACACGATTGAAGACAATTTCTACGCCAGGATAAACTCCCAGTGGCCCTCTAAGTTGACAACATTCCAAGTCTGCAGATGAAAGTGTTGGGGTATCGCCATGAGGGACACCCATTAAGCTACAGGACTATTTTCACTGTCAGTTCTTCTGGTGTCCCTAGTTGCCAGCAATAGTGGCAGAAGGTAGTCCCCTAGGTGTTCATGTGCATAGTCACTGTTAATATAGTACCCAGTCCTGCCCCCCCCCACACACACTCTCAAACATGAATACTTGAGAATTTCTTGTGTTTTTTTTTTTTTGACTCCTTAAGTCTTGGGTCCAAGAAAGGCAATCATTGGCAATGCAGGAAATAACCTATCTTAGTTATTAAAAGCATCAAGAAGAGAGGAATAGGATTTAAAAATAAAAAAAACCCAAAAAATTAAAGGGAAGGCAAAACTTAATTTAGAAGTACTTTGTGATTATATTTTATTTATTTTATTGTAACTCAAAAAGTTCCTTTCCTCACCTTTTCCAAAAGGACTTAAGTCATGGGAACTACAGGTTTTAATTTCTCTGTTACATAAACAGAAAGGAGCCTAAAAGTCTGTATGCTTTTTAATGGCTCATGACACATAAAATATGATGCATTGTTATCTGCTTGATCTTAGGATAAGGATGGGTGTTTCATGTCAGGAGAGGTTACCACGGTGAGTATGGACCAGGCAGATATCAGGGAAGAAAATAGTTGACCAAGGGATTGAGGTCACCAGTGCTGTTTCCACCGCAGTCTGACTTGATGACCAGTGTCCCTATACTCTCATGCGCTGGGCTCTGAATCAGGAGCTGGAAGGAGGCAATACAGAGATGAAGGGGAAGGGGGAGCAGGACCCAGGCTCTGCCTGGGAGAAGTCCTATGTTAGTGCAACAGCGTATGAGGCTACCATTGGTTTCATTCAGAGTTCTAAATTTATAATTGTCTCCAGATCATAAATAAATTATATCTAATTTTTTTTTATTTTTTTTTAATTTATTTATTTATTAAGGATTTCTGCCTCGTCCCCACAACCGCTTCCCATTTCCCTCCCCCTCCCCCGATCAAGTCCCCCCCCCCCATCTGCTCGAAGAGCAATCAGGGTTCCCTGACCTGTGGGAAGCCCAAGGACTGCCCACCTCTATCCAGGTCTCGTAAGGTGAGCATTCAAACTGCCTAGGCTTCCACAAAGCCAGTACGTGCAGTAGGATCAAAAATCCACTGCAATTGTTCTTGAATTCTCAGTATTCCTCATTGTCCGCTATGTTCAGCTAGTCCGGATTTATCCCATGCTTTTTCAGACCTAATTTATTTCAGAAAGACAAAGAATTTTCATAGTGAATCAATTTGTCAAATCAATCAAATATTTACTTTTTGTAAAAGTTAAGAAAGCTGTGGTATTGGTATCTTCATTAACAGTTTGTTGGTAAGATCTGCTTTTCAAGACAGTAAAAATTTCTATATAAGTTTTCTGTCTTCTGAGTGCTGGTTTAACCTAGTTGTCCTCTTATCTCCACATATTCTCCATTGAAACTGTACACACACACACACACACACACACACACACACCTGCGCATACATCCATGCATACATGCACATCCATGCACACACACACATACAACAATGTATGTATGTGCATGCTAAATAACTAAAGTGTAACAAATTTTAAAAATTTAAAGAATAAAGTAGATTAAGGTGGAAAAGACCAATGGTTAAATGCCAATGGATTTCTTTAGTGATTTACCTAAAGCACCATTTGTACTATTTGTCAAGAATGACTTCACTCCTTACCTGCAACAGAATGGTCTGGAGAAACAGCTGAAACAATGTGTCATTGGCCTTGACAGTGACCTTGACTGCTGACTGTCACATGAGCTTTTGTAAATTCTTGCTTGCTGGTCTGCCCAGTTCGTATTTTTTTTTTGTTTTTGTTTTTCTTTAAATGTCTGGTTGTTCTCTAATGAGAAAGAAAAGGTGTGGATTTGGACTGGAGGGGAAATGGGAAGGATCTGGAGGAGTTTGGGGTGAGGCCTCTTCATCCTAGGCCTTCCCACGCCAGGACTGTAGCGAGGGAAGTCAGAGGTGATAATAATCCATATATTTATTATCGTGTCATGACCCACGGGTGATTCTTATGGACAAAGAGAACATGGGAAGGCCTACTCACCTGGTCTGATGTCTAATTCCAGGTCTAATTTTTTTTTTTTTTTTACCATTCCCCAGACCAGGGAATTGTACCTGGCAGCAGTAGGTTCCACGGCCAGCTAGGTCTCACGGTCATTCTCTATGGTCAGGGACACATCTCCTTTGAGGAAATTCCCCTTTAGCTGGTATCTTCTGGATTTCTGATATGCCACATCTTTTTCATCAGTGGCAAGCACCCAATTGACACACCGTGAACAAGGACAGGGTCCCTTGTCCCAGCACACAGGCTCAAGAGTCTCAGGGGCAGGTAGAGTATAGTGGCAGGGCAGATCAGATACGCATTTTTACCAATCTGACTATAACTGCATCTTCCAAAGATCCTACACAGAGAGGGGAGGAGGGTAAGACGGTGAGGGGTGGGTCCATTTCTGTTGGTAATGCATCATAGAATTAAAGAGGAAACTCTGGCTGCTCTGTTGGGAGGAGGATTGACGGTGCCAATGATTCTCTGTCACCAGAGGAAGCAGCGAGTCCTGTTAAAACACTTACGATGATTGCCCATGCCTCTTAACCTGGAGCCTGGCAGGTGGAGACAGAAAGATCCTGAACTAGAGACCAGACTGAGCTACAGAGCAAGTTCCAGGTTAGCCTGAGTGATAACACCGTCACTCAAAAGACAAATTAGCAGTCTGGGAAGTGATGACTGCCTTTAATCCCTGTACCGAGGAGTCTGTGGCAGAACTGCATGAGTTTTGTTGGACCCTAGCGTCCAATCACCGAGGAGGAGGAGTCGCCCCAAGAGTTCATCTCTCATATCACAGCTGATGTAAAAGCATGAAGACTTTATTAATTCTGTCATGACAGGGTCTTCCAGCAGTTGGCAGGCTAGAAGACCCTAAATGTCTGGTACAGGCTATTTTTAAAGGGAAAAACCACAGAAGGAAGGGGTGTCTGGGGGTTGTTCTTTAACTATTATGATTGGCTTATTCAAAAGGCTATTACCAAGAATTGGCTGGAGAGTGGTTGCCAGATCAGATGAGGTAAAGGAAAACTTCTGAGGGTCACTTTGTCCCTTCCCAGGGACTAAGTCAAAACATCAGTAACTGAGTCAACACCTAAGGGTTATCTTGCCCCTATTCAGGGAGATGGAAAGTTCCCAACAACTCAGTACATGTATGCATAGCTGTTATGTCCTTAGTTCCCAGGGGAGGAGGGGAAGTGCTGAGAGTTGTCAGAAATAACTTCAGAATTGTCTTAAAGTTCTACAGTTTGAGGCCAGCGTGGGCAACTTCTGCTCCTTCCCTAAAGTGCCTGCCTCCACTGGTCTGACGTGGAGCATGGGAACTTGCGTGTCTCTCAGTTCCCATGTGTTGTGTGTCCCTGACTCCCCACCCCCCAGTTGCAGAATCTTGGTTCTCAGAGAGAATAAGTGTTAACAGCTCTTTGAAAATAAAAGCCAGAGCCAATGGAGTCAACACTCAGGAAAAAAATGGCCATTGTTGCCATTTTTAGATCAGGGGTCTGAGCTAGCTGCCCCGTCATTAGCCAGGGGAGGAGTGACCGAATCCCCACAATACAGTGAACAAAAACCTTGACAAATAAGAAGCTGCTGCATTTCACACTGCTGGGGTCGCTTTGATGTTCAACAGTAGTTCCTTTCAATACATTTGTATGTGCACATCTATGTAAGAAAGCAGCCAGCCATATCAAATGGGCATGAAACCACATCTCCCTTTCCACACTCTTACCAATTCATGCTGCCCACTTTGAGTCCAAACATTAAATAGTTCTCCACACACTGCTGCTCCCTGACATGGTGTGCACACAGAGAAGCCTACTGTGCACACACACACACACACACACACACACACACACACACACAACCTGCACTTGATTTTCTCAGTAGCACCGTGACTTCTGGCATTCTGTACCCAGATGATTACTCAGGCTCGTGGCTTATATCACGAATGCATCATATTTATTACCTGCTTTCCCACTGGTAGACATTTAGCATGCTACCAAACATGTGCTGTTACAGCCATCCTTGCCATGACCATCCCTGTATCTCCCTCCTGCCCTCTGTGACACACCGATGTTACCACTGCTCAGCTGTGAGCTGAGCTTACACAGAAAACTCTTCAGTAAAAAGTAAAAAGAATCAGGCAGATCTATGTGACTTTGAGGCCAGCCTGGTCTACAGAGCGAGTTCCAGAACAGGCTCCAAAAGCTACACAGAGAAACCCTGTCTCAAAAAAACAAAACAAAAACAAACAAACAAAAAGTAAAAGGAAGTGGGCAACTCTAGGAAGACTGTTTCCTACATGGTTGCTCTATAATGGATCTGTGCATCAGCACCTGTGCTGGGCTGCAGCAGTGTGGTTCTGCCAAAGTTAATCGCTAGGTCTTAGCCAAACTCTCCTGACCTGCTGTTGGCTGAGCTGTGGTGGAAGACAGGCTCAGTGCAGAGAATTAGGGGTTCAAGGCCTGTCTGCTCCAGGCCTCAGGGAATTCTCTGCAGTTTTCACTGTTTCTTCCAACAATGACACCAACCATCCTACTCAGGCTAAGAATTCCCAATACACATGCAACAGCCTCACCATCCTGGAAGCTCAGGTAAAGACTCTGAATCTGACATCCATACCCTTCTAACTGTTTCTTTCCAGTCAGGCTGTCACAAGACTCTCTGGGCAGGGCAGACTGCTGGAAGCTAATTGCTTATGGTATTCTGGGAAGATACAGATCTCCTTGCATTGTTAATTTCCTTGTTACTGTTGTACAAATCTTTATCCTGAAACAATCTGGATCTGCAGCAAAATCACGTGTCCCTGTATCCATCCAGCTCTTTCTAAAGCATGCAATGTGTACATCATTGTACTTTCATCAAAATAAGGAAACTGGCATGATCCATAATTCTTACTGGGAG